ATTTTCCCGCCAAAGAACATCTAGCCTGCAGTTGCGGGTGGAAGACGATTAGGGTGATGAGAGGTTTGGGTGATCAGTAATATGGTAGTGACTGATGGTACTATATTGAGTATATTCACTTGTTTGTAGCTTTGTGCAACTATCTTCACATTTTCTTTCTTGCTTCGATAACTATATAGCAATTGCCATATTATTAAATAGCAAAAAAAAATCTACGGCTTTTTGCCGTCTTGAAGGTCCACGCATTCTTTGCCCTAATTTAGCTTAATATTCCTAGTATCAAGCAAGTATGCTTGCAAACAATTAAGTTTTGACTATTTCAGCAAAACTGCCCAGTCGGTTGAAATCAACTCTTAATCATTGAATAAATGTTTTTAAGATTGTTTGTTTCACTGTTTCAGCATCTTGATATATGAAGTCAAGTTCCACCTGTGACACGCTGGGGTATCAGATATAGTTTCATACTGCATTTACAAAGTATCTGATAGTGGAAAAAGATGAAAAAAAACTAGCATATTGAATTAAAGACAAGTGGACGTCAATTTTAACGACAAGCTTTCGAAAACACAATGTATATGCGATAAATTTGCGCTATATGCGAATTTGGGGCAAATTTAGTATCAAATTTGCTATATGTATACTTCAATATGCCAAGGTGCATGTATGCCAATTTATTGCCAATTTGGTATCAAATATTACTAAACTACATTGTAATTATCCCATCATACTGATTCATTTTGTATGGTATTATAGACAGCATAAGTCTTCAAGCCATTATCGAGTATTGATAATTATCTAGACTTCACGTCTGTTCTTTGCATTGTTATAGAACTTTGGATAATTCATATATTTCGGCTGCCAGGAATCAGTTGCTTGATTTTGAAAACCATGAAAGTATATATATAGAATTAGCTAGATCATTCGGATAAAAATATAGAAGAAAATACAATTTTCTCAAATACATCTGTAGCACGGACATGGATGCTTTAACCTGAATGTATATATTGTACTCTATATGTATACTGTCCCATCTAAACAGTCATGCACGCGCATTTCATGTATTATTTATGTACCAGTTGCACTGTTGTTTACTCACACAATAAATCCTTGCTTCGGCGCTATAGGACCTACATATGTTGCTGTTACGGGAAAATATAGAAAAATTAGGGCAAGTAAAAAGCTATGTCTATTAATTAATGCATTAACTGACTTCTAGTATTTCCAATACATCTCTGCCCATTGTGCAAAGTTGATGTAAATATGCCATTAAATTTGCTACTACTAATTCAGTGTGCGAGTCCATATGCCAATTTATTGCAAATATGTTCCAAAAAATACGGCTTAACTTCCTTGCATCCGGCTGCAATGGTGTCAATGGTTATGACTTTGTACAAATGGGTATTAATCCATACACGAGATTCACACTATACAACAGTATCAAATCAATCCCAACAAAAAAACAAAATATATCGGGAGTGTTTCACCAAAACAATTACAGTAACAAACCAACTCGTCTCTACTCTCGAGAAGTCTTACATTTTATAGTTTTTCAGTATAGAAATGATTAGCTACTTCATATAGATGCGTATTTATCAGGAGCTCTCTCGTATATATCGCAGATCATAAAGTAGTCTGCAAAGTATTTCGATTAAAATTCTAAGCCGACTAATTTTGAAATCTTAGACTTAGTCTTAGTTCAAAATATATGTTGACTTGGAAATAATAAAATCGGCATTTAAACAAAGCCAGCTTGAAGAATTTGCCACAAATTGGCAGCTATTTGCAAATGTGTTGCAAATATAGTAAATAAGTTTGCAAGCCTGCAAAGATGTAGGCAAATGTGAAGCAAATTTATCGAGTTCCAAAGATGAATTCACAATGGTTGCGAATTCAAACTACTAAATTTGCATCAAATTTGCAACTATTGCAAATTTGGTGCGAACCTATTTTTTCGTCCCGTGAAATTCCCATGGTTTTTCCATGGTTTTTATCATTGGGCCCCCACTTTTCATTTACATGGTATTGCCATACTTTATGAAGACTGCTACTCATAAATTCCCATGGTTTTTCCATGTTTTTTTTATCATCGGGCCCCCACTTTTCATTTACATGGTATTGACATACTTTATGAAGACTGCTACTCATAAATTTCGATGGTTTTTCCATGGTTTTTATCATCGGGCCCCCACTTTTCATTTACATGGTATTGACATACTTTATGAAGACTGCTACTCATAAATTTCCATTGTTTTTCCATGGTTTTTATCATCGGGCCCTCACTTTTCATTTACATGGTATTGACATACTTTATGAAGACTGCTACTCATAAATTTCCATGGTTTTTCCATGCTTTCTATCATCGGGCCCCCACTTTTCACTTACATGGTATTGACATACTTTATGAAGACTGCTACTCATAAATTTCCATGGTTTTTCGAACTTTTTCCATGGTTTTTATCATCGGGCCCCCACTTTTCATTTACATGGTATTGACATACTTTATGAAGACTGCTACCCATAAATTTCCATGGTTTTTCCATGTTTTTTATCATCGGGCCCCCACTTTTCATTTACATGGTATTGACATACTTTATAAAGACTGATACTCATAAATTTCCATGGTTTTTCATGGTTTTTATCATCGGGCCCTCACTTTTCATTTACATGGTATTGACATACTTTATGAAGACTGCCACTCATAAATTTCCATGGTTTTTCCATGGTTTTTCCATGGTTTTTATCATCGGGCCCTCACTTTTCATTTACATGGTATTGACATACTTTATGAAAACTGCTACTCATAAATTTCCATGGTTTTTCCATGCTTTTTATCATCGGGCCCCCACTTTTCATTTACATGGTATTGACATACTTTATGAAGACTGCTACTCATAAATTTCCATGGTTTTTCCATGTTTTTATCATCGGGCCCCCACTTTTCATTTACATGGTATTGACATACTTTATAAAGACTGATACTCATAAATTTCCATGGTTTTTCCATGGTTTTTATCATCGGACCCTTACTTTTCATTTACATGGTATTGACATACTTTATGAAGACTGCTACTCATAAATTTCCATGGTTTTTCCATGGTTTTTATCATCGGGCCCCCACTTTTCATTTACATGGTATTGACATACTTTATGAAGACTGCTACTCATAAATTTCCATGGTTTTTCCATGTTTTTATCATCGGGCCCCCACTTTTCATTTACATGGTATTGACATACTTTATGAAGACTGCTACTCATAAATTTCCATGGTTTTTATCATCGGGCCCCCACTTTTCATTTACATGGTATTGACATACTTTATGAAGACTGCTACTCAATAAATTTCCATGGTTTTTATTATCGGGCCCCTGTTTGAAATTTACATGGTTTTCCCACTATCCAGCTTCAAAAATGTCAAGTAATTTCCAAACTTTTCACAGTATTTTTACATAATAACTTTTTACAGACATTTTACATCGTATTGCTTCTTTCTGTTTCCGTGCCTATAAATTTACATGATCATTGCAAAGATGTAAATTTAAAGACAAGGGTATTTACAGTAATTATAGATTTACATGATATGTAAATTTATTGTAAATTAATTTACATAGTATGTAAATAAATATTCACATAGTATTTACATGAGAATAATTTTCCAGTGGAAATTGAACTTCGTTACAGTACTTAAGTTAAAATGTAAAACTCCTTAATAAGACAATAATAAAGATCAGTAAGATTCTTAACGGAGTACGTGCACTGATAAAGCGGACTACAGACAAGCAAGTTTTCTAGACTGTTGTTTTTATGTGACAAGTTTTATTTGCTCGTCTGTATGCGCAACTTTGGCATTTTTTTCTATGCATGACAAGTGGACTTGTTCAAAAGCTAGCATGCTAGCTAACTTGTCATATAAAATTTGTTGCATATACACACGTGCACTTGGGTTTGGCAAATAAAACTTGTCACATAAAAACTTGTCATAACATATAGTCATAGTCATAGAAAACATGCTCGTCTGTAACCGGCTTATTACTGACACTGTCGATCACTGATAATACTGACATAACATTGGTCAATTTAGTACATTTATTATACTACCTCTACGTAACAACTTTATGTCCTGTTGGATTCTTTTAATTGCATCGCAATTGACTTGGCACATCTAGGGAATAGGAAAAACCACTTGTTACATACATGTTTTGTGTATTTGAGACTATAGGTGTATAGCCCGTTTACACTACTGCTCAATTTTTGGTACGGTACGGATAAAATTGGTACTCGTAGTCGTACCACTTTTTTGGTTCTTGGACTACGTATTTATAGTCCAAGAAGCGAAAAGTGGTACGGTACTAAAAATCGAGCGCAGTATGTCTATAGAATATGTACAGAATACAGTATATTAACTTTTTTACATGTCTTGCGTGCATTTAATTGCCCGAATTGGCAATTACCCATGCCATGGCCACAGTGCCATGCCCATGGCCTATGGCATTGTCCGAGGCATTGTCTTTTATTAAAGTGCGTCCGGCAGTAATTTTTCGCTTTGAGTTTTACACACACTATCATTTTTTTATAATATGGTGTTTTTGGGTCAAATGTTTCAGTTGAAAGTCCCCGGCTTTGTTTTATTGCTCGGTTTATTGTAAATTTTAAAAATGCATAAATAAATCATTTCGAAATAATTTTTCAAAATACGAAATTACAAAAGTGCTTAAAATATTAGTGTAAAACAGTAATTAAGACTTGCAAAGAGCATCAAAACGAGGCTAGGGCCTAGGCACATATATTTCATTGCAAGAACTAACCGAACTTTTGCATGTTTTTGAACTTTTAAAATTTGATTTCTCAAAGCAAACAGAGTCGGGGATATTGTATTTCAAAAATTATGATTTATATATTAATTTTAGAAAAATATTTTATGTTAAAAATATTTTCGACAGTGTCGACAGTGACTACCTGGATGGGCATCAGGACATAGGCACAGGGAAGTTGCAAGACAATACTCAATAGTACAATACCTCACAACATTTTTCCTTTTTATTGGCAAGACTGGATGCCATTAAAAAGTTTGGGGTACTGTCCCGTTGAATTTGCTGATGTTGCACCATAGGCATAGGTTGCACTGCTGACTTGGAGACTGCTGATTTGGAGACTGCTGACTTGCCCTTGAGTTTGACTTTGTCCTTGACCTTGTGTTGGACTTTGTTCTTAAGCTTGACCTCTGCAGGCTCAGCGGCGCCTTTGATGTTGACAGACATTTTGGGCATATTAACATTCTGATTCCTTAATTTAGCGCGGATAATGCTTAAATACGTTTTCTCGGCGCCAGCTTTGGTGTCTAAAAAGTTTTAGGTAAAAAATACACGTTGTTTAAAAAAATTATATGGCTAGTATGTCGTAAACAACTTGCTTGATACATATAATGTTACAACAAAAATAACTTGTAAAAACATAAATTTGTATAACAGCATAAATTTGGAAATTTATTTTGCAAAATACCACCTACAAACAGTATAAAAACTGAGGAAACAATTTAGCACAATTTTCTATTATCTATTGAATACTGTTCTAGTTCAACAGTTTTAATAACAATATGATATTAAAGCCGAGTACCATGTCGCAAAAATTAGCAGAGTTTGGCTTCCCTGCCCCTGACCCCGGGCGACTTCAATTTTATTTCTTTATGAATTATGATTATTTACTCCGGCAAACCTAATCATGGCACAGCTATAAAACAAAACTGAAACGAAAACCATTGTCATTGACATCAGGCTTATTTATAATACTGAATTAAAGTATGAAAATATATTAGTATGTAAACTCAATCATAACTCATAAATACGTAAGTATAACTATAAGGCATCTTAAGCCTTAAATAATTAGGCTTGGCTTACAACATATGTACATGGCCGTCCGCTAGGCATGGACATAGGATTCACAGAGCTAAATTGGTTAAAAAATAATTGACCAGGCCTACAACTGAAACAGTGCTGCGCCACAGCGACACAAAGCATATGCCGGCATAAGTGGGGGAAAAGGCATAAATTATTTAAAAATTATAGATAGATTAAAACAAGAAAAGTAAAATGCCGGGCGGTAGGGTCGATTTCTTTTTACCAGTGGCAGCGCCACGTATCCACCCACAGCCACAGCGGCCGATATCAACACTGATTCAACAGAAGTGGGAAAAGAAACATTAAAATTATTTAAAAACAAAAACTCTATATGCAAGATTCAGTAATCAGTAGGGACATATAGATTGTAGTCTAAAAAGGTACCGGCTGAGACGTGGCCTTTTACAATTGGCAGTAGCAGCGCCACCGTACAAGTTGCCCCGAGGCTGATGCCGACACAGATGGAAAAAGGCATAAATTTAAAAAATATATAGTATACAGCATATGTTTTAGTGTACTATTTTTATTATATTATAATTTTTACCTGCAAAAGCAGCAATTCTACCTTTATACCGCTTTCCCTGGCAAAGTGCAGAAACAATTTCCCCCGGACAAAATGCGATGGATGTCATCGGCAGTTCATCAGCAGGAAATATGTCCTTGCATAGAACTGGGTCGTATGTATCTTCCCCATCCCATTCTATAATGCACCAACCTAAATTAAATGTATAGCAGAACATTTATTAAATTCAAAATAATAATACAGTAGTCTTTCAATAATCAATAGAGCAGATGTTAATTTTTGTCACCTTTTTTTGCCTTCTTTTCGTCTCTATCCTCTTCCATGTTAGTGTCGTAAATGTCCGCAAGAGAACTCGGAATTTTTCTCTTTCTCTTACTTTTGGCCTTTATAGGCGTTGTGGCAGGTTCATCGCTTAATTCCATCAATTCTAAATCATCGCTTGAATCTGAAAAACTCATTCTCGAAACTCATTCAAACTCATTTGTTTTCGCGCAAATGCAAATAGTATGAAAACAGCTAAGCTACCAACGGTAACGAGAAAAGTGTCAGGTTTATGAAAGAAGGATAAAGTATAGGGCGCTTTCAAAAAACAATGCGTTGTGATTGGTCGCTCGAGGTAAAATATCGCGCGCTTTCAAAAACATTGCGTTGTGATTGGTCACTCGACTCCTGACGTATGAAACGTATGATAAAACTTACTTGTATATTTTTCTCTGGCCTGAAGTGATAAAATTGCTATACGATATCGTCATTCGTCAGTGTAGTTGAAGCGAATTATGCCTCCCAAACGTGCCCGTTATCTGGAATGGCAACGAGACCCTACTGTCCCAATTCCGAAGCGAACACTTGCGCCGATGGCAATCTTATAGTAGCACAAGCTGATAGTGATAGTGATAGTGATAGAGTCGGATTCATGTGCTCGCGAGGAAGACACCAACAGTTCCAATAGTAGTGATGGTTCTCAAGCAATACCAACTGCAATATTCGATGAAGAGTTAGCTGAACAGGCAGATTTGGAAACGAATGAGTACTCAGACAGTGAATTTGTTTGTGAATCGGAAAGCGAGTCTTCTGACTCGGCATCGGATAGAGCCCGACGTGTGTAGCAACAACGATGTGATTTATCCCGGCGCCTCGATCACAGTTGAAGATAGTATTTTAAGCAACATGAAATACGCAATTCGGCACAAAACGACATATTCTGCGTTAAGTGATCTGTTAGGTTTAGTCGCGCTTCACCTACCAAATAACAGCAAAAAAGACCACCTGAAGTCATTGTATTTTTTGAAAAAAGCATTTTCTTCAAAACTGCACAAAGATGAGATGGTTACGGTAAATGAATATTGTCCAGATTGTTCAAGTCCGTTTGATGATGACACGAAAAACGCCTGCGAGTGTTGCGGGAGAGCCAAAAGCAAACAGGACAAAAATTACTTTTTAACGTTGGATATTGGAGAACAAATACAGAACATGTTTGCAGGTAAGCTTTTATTGTGAACTCTAGATGTAATTTATTTCTGTTTCATGCTATTAATTGTGCCACGGGATTGTGCATAAGCACAATATAACTTTTCACTGATTGGCAGTGGACCTATTCTTTGCACTGGACTGACTAAGTGAGGGCAGGAATTTAATTAATCTAGGGGACTGAGGCAGGTTTTATTTTAAGTTTTTATATAAAATGGCGATTAGAACATTGATATTTTATCAAATATTTTATAAACTTTCACAAGCATTTTAAAACTGAATACGAAAAACAGAAAAATCATATAAAGAAAGGATACAAAGTCAAAAAAAAGTTCCTTGGAGGAGTATCCTTTAATCATAGACATAGACCTTTTAGTTTTATATATATACATATATATATAGAAATAGTTCAAAACATACCGATAACCGATTGTGAAATCAAATTAAATAATTTTTTTAGTTTAATTAACATAGCTTAAGATTGATAGAAATGGATTCAAGTACCATTTTATGTGCTGATCAGTTCATATTTAAGGCAGATAATATAATTAATTTATAATTAAGTCAGCCTCAGGCCCTGCACATGCCTGAAACCTGGCAAATTGCTTTAAAATAATATAATTTTTCTCAACACATTCAGTCATGAGGGAATGAGGATTTAAAGTTTTTAAAATAAATTAATTAACTTAGAATTTAAACATACACAGGTCTAATTTATAATTATAATATCAATTAAGTTGTGGGTTTCGGTGAACAACTGAACATGGTTTATGTATTATTGTATGTATTAACTCATTAACTGGCAAGCTGTTACAATGTTACCACCCCCTAAAGTGGCAAGCAATATGGCGAATTCATGATTGAATTCCAAGCTTTCACCAAAATGCCAATATCTCAGAAACAATTGCATAAAAAAGTCTGATCTTTTCAACCAAACATGAATGATATATGATTGACGAAATTTAGTTTAGATGACCTTGCATACCTATATATATCATTAGTTTTTTCAGTCAGTACTTTTATTTATAAAGCAGTGACACTTTGTTTTCCATGTCACTCATCACCTAAAGGGGCAATATCTCCATAAATTTATATAAAAACCAAAAAAAAATCATTTACTAAATTAATACATATCTATATTACAACCAATTTTCATCTTTTGGGATATGAATTATGAAATTATCAAAAAATTTAAAAATTACTTCTTTGCTTTTTTGGGGCATCTTGTTTACAACATGAAATTTATAACAGTAACTAAGTGTTCAAGTTCAACAAAGTGTGCAAGCCAAAACACAGTGTTTGTACATCTTTAAAGTTTTTTGATTGCTTCGAATATATTTAAAAAGACACAGTGCTTAAAATTATTTATTTTAATATAAACCAAGGATGGGAAGGTGAGAAAATGGGAATTTTCTGAGGTGTTTTTAACACAGACAATGACAGCCGACATTTTGAAAGGCACTCTGCGGTGACAAAACTAAAAGCTATTCACTTCTGTCCTCAAAGCACTGAAAAGCATCATAAAGAGAAAAACACTTTAAACACATGCCAGGTAAGACTTTTAGCTCAATATTTTCATGCTTCTATTGGGAAAACAACGGTTTAAAAGCCAAAATTATTTTGCGCGCCAATGTAGGCTGCTATAAAATGTCAGACAGGCGGTTTCTTTTGAAGTCTGGCTCTGAAAAACAATCTCCTTTTTTGAGTTTGAAATAAGCCTTCATAAGGACTATTGTGTAGAAATGTTATCTATATCCTCACATGAAAAAGGTAACCTAATTTTCAGGTATTCCACATAGCTATAAAAGGGTGAAATAAGAAATTTCACTTTGGTTGTTTGTCAGACGTGAGAAACCACATTAGTGCCATTTTGTCGCGCGTGCTATTTTATAAAATAAACACCTCAAAACCATAAACCTTTAGTTCAGAAAATTACAAAGTTTCCCATAGACATTATTAAAAATGTTCTAGTGAAGCGATTTCATGATAAATAAGTGAGCAATGGGCCCAAAAGAACTGCTAAGGTTAGTTTTTGTTAGGACTTCAATTTCATGGCTTCCCACAAAGGAAGCCATTTCAGAGGGAAGCAACATTTTGCAAACCACCGTCGCGACCTATTTTGATAACTTTTCCTTCTGATTCAACGTGTAGTTACTAGAAAATGATGTTGCATCAACATTATTATCTGCTTTATCGATTTAAAGTTTTATAGGGGATATAAAAAACAGTAAAAATGCATTTTGAAAGCTTTACAACTCAAGTGCGGACTTTTTGAATATTCGCACGCGGCAAGCAAGCGCGTTTATTCAATACATTTATTTTAAACCACAATACGTCTGAAACGAGTTGTCATTTTAACACTAAATTGATGAAAATCGATATAACAGTGATTTTGGAATATCCTACTTATTTAGTGTAATTTAATACTCGAAGTATTCTTGCCAAAAAGGTCAAAAAGATCACATACGCACACAGTAAGTGTCGTTTGAAATATACTTTAGCTAAAATAACAACTTGAACAAGAATACCAACAATGGGGTCACGAAAACAGTCGAAATTGCGCCCAAATTTGCATAAACAGTTCGTCTAAAAAGATAACTTTAAACTAGATTCAACCAACATTAATGCGGTCGAATTTTGTGAGTGTTTGATCGCATATTTCTACTCAAAAATACCCTTTAAAAAGTCGTATCTGCTCACTTGAGTTCCGTGTTCATCTTTCTTGTGATTTCCGACTTCTATTTTTAATAAATTTTGGAGAAATCCTCATCTTTTTGGCTGAAAATCCCGCGCAAGGTTCACAGAAGAACTTGGCCCAAAACGTCAATACATTCGCTTTCCTTTCATGCCAAATTTTCGTTGTAAATCATTCAAAAACGTCTTCTTTTTTCTCTTTTAAAACTTGCTGTGAAATCCTTCTTTGCAACAATAACGCCATTATTCATTATTTTTGAAAAACTAAGGTTTTAAACTTGAAAAACTTTGCGAGTTTTTGGCCGATTTTCTTGCATGATACACCGTTGAAAAGCTCGAATTTCGCGTTCTATTTTCGTATCCGTTGCTAGGCAACCCGATAAACACATGCTCAAATATCATGCCCGCAAGTTGAGGTGTCATTTGAGGGCGTATGCGGGCGCATTGCCAGTTACCCACTTGCCAATCTCAGGGCGCATCCGGGCGCATTGCCAGTTAATGAGTTAAAGTATTTTAGTATAATTACATAGGTGATTATTGAAAATTCTCCACGCTGATTGGTTACCGTTGAGGTGATTATTACGCGATAATCACCTAAGCGATTTTAAAAATGGCGGCCGAAGCCATTTTGTCAATTAAAAGACGAAGAAATGTGCATTTTTTTATTCCAAATAATCGCCTATGAAATTATACTAAAACAATTATTCACCTCAGGCTCGGTGATTATCGTGAATAAAAACCTCGACTTCGTCTCGGTTTTTATTCACCGACAATCACCTCGCCTTCGGTGAATAATTGTTAAATATTCTTTTTACTGTTCTGAAAATGCACACAAGGCCATCACATTTAATATCCACACGCCCCTGTGGACTAATTCACTCACAGATTTTAGACTTCTTCAGAAACAGTGATACCAAAGCCTTTAGGAAATTCTCTATAACACCTTCAGAAATTCTTCTTATCCCTCCTGGAATCTTGCCATTTTCCCCCTTGATTCCTTTCGAAACTACATGAACCATTATTCGGTCATTCCTGCAAAGATCCACACTCCCCCCACAGAGAAAATTTCTGCCGTCTGGAGAGGGAGGGGAGACAAAATTGTTTCTGATAATAGTAAATGTATTAGGATATCCAAAGGGGGTAGGGGGGTTAACTTCCAATATCCTCCTGTGGGGGTGGTATGGATGTTTTCTGGAATGAACCATTGACCCCCTACAGTATTACGTCTAAAGAAATTTTCAGTAATTTTGTTACAACCACCTCGGATATTGCGATTTTCAAGACCCCTTTGAGAAACGTGGATTTTTTTACTCCCTTGGAAAATTTTGTCCACATGCAGAGGAGTGTAATAATTAGCTATTAAATGGAATGGCCCACATAATAATATACTTTTGGCCCTACTGTGAGTACATATAAAGTAATTTCTTCTAAATTATTAACCATAATTAATAATATATTATGATACTGTATTATAATTATTAATTTAAAACCTGTAAACCTTCTTTCTTAATAGAGAGTGACTTTGTCAAGGAAATTGAATATGGTTTTGAAGAAAGAGAACGTGTTCAGCAGCAGTTGAATTCAGATCCAGCAACAGAGAGAGAATGGCATGATATTATGGATGGTGACCTCTACAGAAACCTGCTTAAACCATTTGGATTCCTTGACAAGAGACACAACCTTTCGATTATGTTTAATACTGATGGAGTTCATGTCTTCAAGGCTTCGCGTGATGAAATATGGCCATCATTGGTAGTAATCAATGAACTTCATCCATCTGTTAGGTAATTTACCCATTACTGTACTTATACAAACTGTCAAGCACAAGTATTTATTTTACAAATAATCCATCCTAGTACTTATAGCGACTTAATCAGTTACGGTATACTTTCTAGCATATGAAGGGTCTAATTGCTCAACACATTGAAGTTTCATGTTTATTTTTAGTTTTGTATGTCCTACAGGCAATATTGTACAATGTCAGTTGTTACATTTCTTGGCCCAAGGAAATACTAATTGACCTGCAGGATTTAATTTAACCTTACGATAAAGGTGAAAATGGGTGGAGTCCGAGAAGTGCTGGCGAAAAAAGGCCTGAGGAAAAACTAGTCTAAACAATGTGCTGCTCACTTAGCTAATTGTTATTTTTAAACTTAACATTTGTAGGCTATCAATAACTATATGATAAACACTAGGAATTGACAAATTGACCTTGTTAATTTTGTCACTTTGGCCAATATATTCAGCAACCAATCAAAAGAATTGCCACTAAAATATGATAGCCAATCATAGCAGTCCGGCCGAAATCTGGATGGTCACCACAAAATGCCACATTGTTTAGACTAGTTTTTCCTCGATCAGGCCTTTATTTTCTCACCTTTTTTCCGCATGTCTCTCCTCTGCCCAATTTTCACCTTTTAGTGTTATTAAGGTTGAAAACAATAAAGGCTTCAGACATTAAGGTTTAAATTAAGTTCTAATCTAATTTGCCAATCACATTTAATCCATTCCATGCTAATAAGTTATAATTGAAACCTTGAAATTTAGATGCTCATTGCAAACATTTGAACTAGCTTTCTCAATAAATTAACATTAAATTTATCTGTAATTTACCCTTATAAATGTAAACAATAGTTTAATCTCCTCTGGCCAAGAAATTTGTTTAACCCATTGAGTTGTTAGGCACATGCATTAATTCTCCCGCTGACAAATAAAATCATCTGGCTTTAGACAGCGCTAGAGTAAAATAATCTGGTGTTAGACAGTCAGTATAAAGTAGGGTGCACCAGTTGTCACATGTTTCCACTTAGAGTGTTAATTTAAAGAACACTGATAACTGACAAAATGTATTAGTTCAGTAATTCAAATGTAATAATATAATGTATTTTTATGCAATTCACAGGCTTAGCACCAAGAGGATGGTACTTGCAGGTATTTGGTTTGGACCAAAAAAAACCTCAATGCCAACTTTTCTACAATCCGGGCCAAAACTCATATGGACACTTAATCCACTTTTGCAAAAATCGTAACAAACACCTAAAACTTGAATTTACTTGCACATCCCCCACTCCCCCTCTTCAATGTTGCATATCCGACTTAGCCACACTTCGTATTTGATGAAAAATCCCATTCAACATTGGCTTGGGGGAGCGGGGGGATAATTATTTAGAAAAACACCATTTGAGGCCAAATTCTGTGGGTTGTCCACAACGTTTTGTCCAGGATTGTCTGAAAAATGATGGGCATGGAGAAGCGCTGTTTTATCACTTGTTATTTAACATTTGACATGTCTGATGAGACTATAACGCATACCTATGTATTCTACGTTTTTGTTATACAGTTTGATCGCTAATGACGTCACTATTAGCAATTACGTCACTTCCGGATGTTGTAAATATAAGCTAATTTGTGGGAAGCGTGCGTAAAACCAACTATACTGAATAGGTGCGAGCATAACTTTTTCTCAATCTTATACATGAAAGGTACACCGACTTTACTGTTCAGATACATAGCCAAGGAGCGCATTTAGGCTTTAACAGGAGAGAAATTGACAGTACAGAAAATTTTCAGTGTCATATTTACGGAGATTCAGTACGATTCCAGAACGTCTCAAGACTCAAGCTATGTAGCAATTACCTTATTCCATGGAATAAATTATTGTATTTTTGCATATTTACTGATTTTAACGACCCTTGTAGTTTTGAACAGCCTATATTTTTATACACAGCCCTAATATATTACTCGCCAATGACAAGAACCATGCAATATGAAACTGGAAAAGCTTCAGTACTCAAAATGAAATATATCATGTTAACCTTTTTCGCCATTTGAAAGGCAATATAATTTGACATTGAGGATTCTTAATATTTCCAAAGATAAGTGTCTATCATAAACTTGTATGCGAACTCGATCCAACTACAGCCATTAAATACATAGAATACTTGTAAATATTATATTACAATTGGCGTTTGTCAAATAATGAAATATTGCCTTACACTTTTCAATACTGTGCGCCGACTAGCACGCCAGCACGGTCTACAGTAACTTCGGACTTGAATTATACACAATTGCTGCATTGAAATGTAACGATTTCTTCTTAGGGAACTACCTATACATATTATACTTGTTTTTAAAATGTTTTCGTAATTTACACAGTAGAGAAATAAAAAGTTACCACGGTCTACATATTAAAAGTAGCTCTTTGAATATAATAGATCATAGCTCATCAGTATTCATGAAAATACGATTTTTGTGTGTAGACCGTGGCGATTTTTAAGGCATAGCTGATTTTATATGTTTTGCTGCATACTGGTGCAAAACGTAATTGGACAAGCCTTTTAATCTATATTTTTAATCGATTGCGCGCTTATATACTTCTAAAATCACTGCAGAAAAAAGTGTAGACCGTGTTTCTAGCTTTGAATATTATGTTACACATTACGTCACTCGATCGGAAAGTATAACATATCAACTTAACAATTATAGCAAAGCCCTGTAACTTAATATATAATTCAGATGTTTAGTTCCTGCCTTAAATCATGTATAGTTTTCTGTCAAGCATTGTATTCAGCAAGTTTTAGATGCACCTTGAAATTGCACTGTCAGAAGGAAGCTGTAATATATGGTTAAAACAGACAAACGTACTAGCATATATCGTAAGCAGCAAGACTTGCAGTTAACGAATTATAATACTTTATGAAAAATGCCATTTAGTTGTATAAATTTGATTCTCAAGCACTTCAAGAATGCATAAACAAACTTGGAACTATATATATTCCTGTCCTTCTCGTCACATAATTATTCCTAAAAATTAGGCTCGTTGGCGCGTTTTTTCGTTAGGAAATCTGTTCCTTACCGGACAATTTTTTTTCAAAAGATGATCAGAAATGGATTATTTAGATGCAAACAAGCGCAATTTTACTTACAAAGCATATTTTTTCCCGTTTTGTGTCATATTAGATACAAGAACCGTCTATTATTTTCAATAGTGATTTTCAGACAATCCGGGCCAAAACTCATGTGGACACTTAATCCACTTTTGCAAAAATCATAACAAACACCTAAAACTTGAATTTACTTGCACATCCCCCACTCCCCCTTTTCAATGTTGCACATCCGACTTAACCACACTTCGTATTTAAAGAAAAATCCCATTCAACATTGGCTTGGGGGAGCGGGGGATAATTATTTAGAAAAAACACCATTCGAGGCCAAATTCTGTGGGTTGTCCACAACGTTTTGTCCTGGATTGTAGCAATATTGTTCAATTTCTTGAAAAGCCTTTACCATGTCTGACTGCTGAGTCTGGATGAGTAGTCCAAGTCGAGCAGGTACAGTAGAACAACGCCAGGAAGTAAAGATGGCTTTTACAGTTTTGCTAGCTATTCTCGAATGTTGCCAATAGCTCCATGTCATGATCAGCCCTGATACAGTATGTCAGTGGGCCTCATTTGTAGCCAGGTAGTCAAGTCTGTGTCTCCTTCCTTTTGAGGGGAAAAAAACACAAAAATAGTTTTGGTAACAACTACACAACCCTCATCAATTAACAGCTTATGTTTTCACTAACAAGCTATCCTCTGGAATTATAGACAGAGCGAAATACTATGATGGATGGAACAAGAGACACTGGCAGATTGTTAGCCCATATTAACTTTATCTCAACTTTAGGAAGGCTCAAAACTAAGAAAATGTATATGTACACTAAATTGGCCTTACTAAATGAATTTCAAAAAAATGAAACTATAACCTCACCTCAACAAAGTTTATGATGTCCAGTTTGCTCTTAGCAGGTTGACTTTTTGATTTGAAGAGTGAATTAAATGTTCTTCATTAGGTGAAGTACTTTCTATAGAATTACATACATAAAAATATTAACTAAGTTACATTTTTAATAAACGCATTGTGATATTTTGATAGCTAAAAAATGCAATTTTCATTTTTCATATCATTTATTAGTTACCGGTACAGTATAAACCAAAATGCAATTTTCATTCGTTATTTTCTATTAACGACACCTAATGTTGGTGCTAATGAATCCAATGTTGGTACAGGTACTCTAATTATGCAAAAAAACAAAATGGTATGATTTAATTACCAGATCACTGTTTATGTGGTGGCTTCATAACTCCTTTTGAAATGCCATAGTAAATAAGTGGGTCCAATTGGTCAATCAGCTGCTGCTTTTCACAAGTTCTCATGTATGCGCTTTCTTCTGCTTCTTCGGGTTGATTGAGGCTCCTCCGAACTTCTTCAACAACCGATTTGATCATGATGAGTAATAATGTAAATTTTTTGAAAATAACCGCATACCTTATTCCAGAGTTTTTATAACCATGATACTGTAGCTCATATACTTTGCTCAGTAGTCAGTGGTACAGTATAAATTTACTTTTTTGACCACTTGTCCTTAGCGCAAGTTCAACTTGCCAAGTTGGATATGAAAATTAGTTGCCCTGAATAAAATTCACTTGCCATCAGACAATGGCCATTGGGGTACCTAGGTAGGGGGTATAAATTAAGGGGACAACATGTCGGCCCATTCTTCCACTGATGGCTGTGTTATACTGCCTCAGATCTAGCTTTGGCCCACAAAAAAACAAAATTTGAATCCATGCGCAAGTACAACATGCAATGTATAAAAAAATTATCCGGCAATGAAAACATAAATTTAAAGATGCCCAGCTTTTTGTGGCAATGATTTTCATTTGCCCCGGGCAAGTGTTAAGTTACAAGTTACAACTCTGTTACTTATTGAAAACATAATTATATAACTTGGCATCCTTAACCAATTAACCACCATCGCTCTCTCACTCACAAATAAAATTGTCTGGCATTGGACAGGAATACAATAAAGGGTGCGATGCAACTTCATGGGAAATCTTGACTGTTGGACCATGAATTCTGGGACTCAAATTGACCACTTCACGCAACATAAACACATGGCCGGTCGACGTAGTTATCGTGGCTCTTTAACTGTCATGTATTTGCTGCCCAGTTTACTGTTTATGACTGCTCTACTTCTTCAATTGGAAAACAAGACAACTACTGATGTTAATCCTGGTTGCTGTATGTACTTTAATGTATGGAATACTAAGCGGAGCCCTAAATTTTTACATCAGTTAACGCTGTCGAATATCAGCTACCGACGTGTTGGGATAAGATACAGCAGCAAGTATTTCAAACGTCGTGTGCCTTACAGTGTGGGGAACCTAGCCTCCTATAATACATCAGTCGTAACTTTGAAGTTTTTTATTGCTTGGGACGTGAATCTTAATCCCGGTCCTTCGACGGCGACATCAGACGGTCATAGTAAGTCGTTTTCTAGTGCACTGGTCAACGCTCGTAGTTTAAAAAGTATTCATAAACTTTGTCCCACTTCGAGTGAAGTAATATCGAATCTTAATGCCTTTCAAAATTTTGTATATCGCGAGGAACTAGACATTATATGTGTGACAGAAACATGGCTAAACGACACGGTGTCAGACTCTGAGTTGCTTCCTTATAATTATAGTATATTCAGGAAAGACAGAAACGATCATAGACATGGCGGTGGAGTCCTTATTGGACTGAAATCGACGAGCTTTAAGGATATTTCTGTCCTTCCAGGCGAATTTGACAACATAGAATTGATATCATTGCTTTGTACAACTCACTTAGATCAGAAATTTGTGCTATGCTGTTGTTATATAGACCGCCTAATTCCGACATAACGTGGTTTGGTAGTTTTGAGAACGCTTTGAATTTGGTCGGTTCACTGGGACATAGAGTTGTTATCGTAGGAGCTTATAATTTACCGCAAGTTTATAATTACGACTCCGCTGAGACTTTAACTCCAAACAATCAGCGCTTCAGTGATTTAATGAATGATAATTTTTTATATCAGATTAACAATTACCCTACGCGAAATAACAACATATTGGACCTTTTAATTACTAACACTCCAGAATTGTTGTACATCACTGACGTACTCTCTCCAAATCAAATGGGTATATACACCGACCACAATGGCGTGTTGTTCAACGTTCTAATGGTTCTGAAAGCGCCCCCAAAATCATTTAGGTATGTTTACGATTTTCCAAAAGGAGATATGCCTGGTTTAAAAGCCAGCCTCGCCAACGCTTGTCTTTCGTCATGTATCTTAGACGACAACAAACACATTGATAATGATTGGGTCTTTTGGAAAGAATCATTTTTCTCGCGTGTCAATCAGTTTGTGCCAAAGCGTAAATTGAAAGACAGAAACTCTCCCCCTTGGATCAATGCCAACATTAGACATTTGCTTAACAAAAAAGACACTATACGTAGGAAATTAAAGATCAATTCAAGCCCCCTCTTTGATCCAATCTTATCGTGATCTCAGAGCTCAAATAAAGCAACTTATTCAGGAAAGTCGATCTGCGTATTTTGATAAAGTTGGCTCTGAAGTCTACACTAACCCTAGAAAATTTTGGTCACTAATCAAAACGTTCACAAAATCGTCTAATCTTACCGTTCCAACAACTGTCTCTCTCCATGCAAACGACCCTGATAAGCCCACTGTAACTGCAGATAAACCACAAGTTATTGCTGACTTGTTTAACGCTCACTTTCAGTCAGTTCAAAAACTTCCGTCTGTAGACAACTGTTCTGAAGACATTTGCGATGACATTACCACATCGGATTTGCCATCCTTCGAAGTCTCTAATGCCGAAGTAAAGCATTATTTGAATACCATAGACGTAAATAAAGCCATGGGTCCCGATGGTATCTCTGGTTGGCTTCTGAAGGAATGTGCTGACGAAATATGCGACTCCCTAACAAAACTGTTTAATAAATCACTACGTACTGGAGTGGTCCCCACAGAATGGAAGATTGCAAATATCATACCTTTGTATAAGAATGGTGTGAAAAGTCACATCGAAAACTATAGACCAATTTCATTGTTATCACTTGTTTCAAAAACGTTGGAGCGTTGTCTACTTAAACAGCTGTTATCGCGGATAACGCACTTAATACATCATAACCAACACGGTTTTTTACCCGGGAAGTCGTGCACAACGCACCTATTGGCAACTTTTAACGACATCGGCTCGAGACTTGACATGGGCGAGGAGATAGATATTTTATATACAGACATGTCCAAAGCATTCGACAGAATCAACCACAAATTGCTGCTAGCAAAATTAAAGCATGCTGGTCTTCCCTACTCCTTTCTGAGGTGGACGTCATCCTACATATCAAACAGGCGGCAACAAGTAACAGTTTTAGGAGCAACCTCGCAGTCACTTTCCGTGGTCTCGGGTGTCCCTCAAGGTTCCATCCTCGGTCCGATTCTTTTCTTGATTTACTCCAATGACATTCTCTCAACTTGCGAAAAGGGGGCAATGTACGCCGATGACCTCAAGTGTTACAAACCCATTGCTTCTTTACATGATGCGAATTCTTTCCAATCTGAAATTAACTCGGTATGCTGTGCAACTCAAAATTGTCTACTGGATTTTAATGAATCTAAGTGCTCGGTTCTGCGTATCTCCCGTAAAGTGAATAGAATCGAGCACTCTTACCAAATTAATGATTCGGTATTACCTACGGTCAACAAAATCAAAGATCTTGGAGTACACATTACATCAAATCTGGATTGGACGGAACATGCGTACAACGTCAGCAAAAAAGGGAACAAAATGTTGGGATTACTTAAGCGTTGTACCGTAGCATTTCAATGTCGTGAAACAAGACGTTTGCTCTATCTTACACTTGTAAGATCTCACTTCTCCTATGCAAGCCAACTCTGGGCTCCACAAAAGGTCAACCCCATTCAAGAGATGGAGAAAGTGCAGAGACGGGCGACTAAGTTTATTTTAAATCTTAATCATCTTTCAGAAATGCCTTACCGAGAAAGACTATTGTCTTTGGATATTTTACCTGTATCCTACTGGCTAGAACTGCAGGATCTGCTTTTCTTATTTAAAGTCATTAATGGTTTGGTAATCTTACCTATAGGCGTCTGTCCTGCATTTTACGTTGCAGCAAGATGTACACGCAGCAGTACAGGGAAACGAAGACAGTTAGTTGTAAGGAAATGTAGAACTACCACTTTCCAAAATAGTTACTTTGTTAGAGTAGCCAAATTGTGGAATATTCTACCACTCGAACTAACATTAGAAGAAGAGACATTCCAAGGTTTTAAAAGTAAATTGAACAAGTATTATAGGGACGCCCTAAGAACTGTTTATAACATTGATGACTGCAGAACTTGGAAGTCAAAATGTATAAAGTGTAGAACTGCACGCTTGTTGCACAACAAGATTCATTGTTGTTTTTAACATTTTTACATCTCTAACATTTTAATAATATAATAGATATGTGTATGTGATAGTTTGTAACTTGTATTAGTATGTATTGTAACTTCTATTTTAGTTGGGGGTACAGTAATTGGGGTAACCTGTTGTACCTTTTCCATTTTTACCTCTATAAAGGTTTAATAAAGTGATTTCAACATTAAACAGTGACTCAAATTTTCCCACGAAAAGAAAGAAATAATTTATTTGTAATCATTCTATTATGTAGGATAGAGTTTCCAAAATGAGAAAGAATTTTTGAACAGCAAAATCCATTAGATGGGTATAAAATTTAAGGGCGATGTTGTTGGTATTTGTGATTTAATATGCTATTGCCTCATTCCAGAAAACATTCATATGGTTATGATTTAATCTCAGTTGTATTGGAGATAAATGCTACAGTACTTGTTTCAGTAACCCATTGAGTGATAGCACTGAGAGGTAAATTATCTGACATTAGATGGGGTAAAACAACAAAGTTGTGGCACAATGCGGTTTATGCAATATCCGGTCTAGTGTAATATCCAGTTAATACCCCATCTCAGCGACCAGCCAAACTTCTCGAGAAGTATTCCTCTTTTAATGGGTTAACATGACTATGATGTGTCTAGTGAACCCATTAAGTTGTATTGTGCCCTGATGTGCCCTACTTCCTTATTTTACTGTCTTTGGAATACCAGATTATTGTTCTCTGTCTAGTGTCTGACCATTTTACTCATCATGGCTAAGTGGAGAGTGCTGGACTGATGATGCCTAATGTGTTAATTTATTGCTGGTTATTTTTAAGACAATTCAATCTACTGTAAGTTTGGATGCACATGTAAAAAGAATACTACCATAGTTAATAGTTTAGTACTTTATGCCGTTGTAAGCTTCTAAAGACTGTTTTTACACTCAAAAGTCTGCAGTAAATATACAGTCATCTAGACCCATTCAATTATAAATTGCTTTTAAGGCCTAATCATTTAATATGATCCCAGGCTAAACAGTTGGCATGATCCAGCTTGCAATATGAACTCTATCGATGTTTACAGTAAAGTGAATTATTTTACTTTCTTCTGGCCTAGACAGGATCTCATTATTTGTTTCCGGAATCACACCTGCCAGGACAAGAAATTCTCATACAAGCACTCTATCATCCCTACCAGGAGGGGTGTATTCCGTCTATATAAACACACCATCCTGGATTAAAACCTGTCCAGCCATGCCATTATCACATAAACAGGCACATATATGCAGGGTTAGACATGTGAAAAACCTGGCGTTAGACAAGTGAAAAAAAGTAAGGCGCACTGCGGCACATTCCGGCTAAATGGGTTAAATACTTAATTTAAAGTCAACGATTTACATGCAAAAACCAAGACATATGCACTGAATGGATAATCATAATAATCAATTCTATATATTGGGTTAACCATTTTATGATTCAGATAGATCATTGTGATTTACTTAAGTTTAATACTCTCAAATAATGTTCATGTTCTGGCTTTAATACTAGGCTTGTAGCCATATTTATATTCATATTAATATATTGTTTTATATACTATGTGGGTTCAAACATGCTTTCTCGAGTTTTGTCAAACAAGTGAAATCCAATATTTACTATAATGAGTTTATTCAAAATTTGAATTGTTGATTTTAACTAACATTTGACGGCACTGAAATGAAATAATTCAATATATAAAACCTCGCGTGCGCAAATTCAAATTTTAGCAATCACCACAGGCCAACAGCCACAAGATAAAATGGGTAAATACGCTCGATGTACGTTATAATTATACGAAATAAACAGCAATATTTCATACCTGAGATCAATAAGCCTTCGGCAGGATTCGGTGTCACTTATCCAGTACAAAATAAGATAAACACCATGGTCTTCTTGAGCAAAATATACTCAAACGAAAAAGTCGAAAATTTGCAAATCACACTAGACATTTGATACACGATATCCCACAACTCATTGCGCGCGTGGCCCTTGTCTCCTAAAATAGATACACCAAAAAGCGCTCCAAATCTATCGTAGCGCTAGCTTGAAACTGAAGGAGGCATTAATCTGGCGGTTTCTGGACAAAAAATTATTATAAAAATGATGAAAGTTCTTATAAGCGAATAATGAGATAGATTTTCTAAAAAAGTTATATGCCAATTGCAATAATATAAATATTTTATGGTTTATTAACGTATCGCATGTCATAACTAGTCCCCTCCGCAGGCCTCTCTATGGGTTCTAGCCAGCGAATGGGTTTTGAAAAAAAAATTTTCTGGGAGAGAGGCCTGACATAAATCGAACGAAATGGACGTGTCAATGTACCTAGTGGCCGTGTCAATGTACCCAACCCCCTAAATAGGCTTTTGACCCTTATTATATATTCAGTTTGAAATCTTCGGGCGACGAGCGAAGCTTGCGATTTTAAAAAACATTAAAAACTTTAAAAATGTTTTATAATGCGTCGAAATATTCAAGCTGTACGAAAATTAGTTGGACAATTGAAAGGATTATATGTCGCATGCTAAAACTGTCTGTACAGTGTAGGTAGTACCAATGTGAAAATGCTGTGCTGAGTGGTTATATTACTACCTTAAAAAATAAGCAGAAACTCGACGTTTCGAGCGAAGGCCCTTCGTCGAGAGTAGTTATTATATGTCGCAATGTCTCTCGCGGTCTAAAACGACGTGCAAATTCGAAGCAGCCACGTGTTTACAAATTATGTCTACAAATATGTATTGAATGTATGGATTCAGCGTTCCGCTCAATTGTTCAGCCGAGGAACTACAATTTGAGGAAATTATCTGGCATAGTTTAGAACGAAAAACGAAGAATGGAACGATACGAAAGATATAATTTGTTTAATAAAGGGATTATATTAAATTGTATTGTTTTCTGGAATAATATGTTGACATGTCTAAGGGGTTGAAATTTTGATTATATTTCATTAATTTTAGTCAAATCATCAGGCATTTGGCAACATGCTCAGTGAATTGATATATAGAAGGAAAAGATCCTTCTGTTGAAGCAACCATTTCAATAAGTGAGGAGAGAAATATCAAATACAGAAATTGGTTACTACGAACATCAAGATTTTGTTGGCATCTTAACAAATTATAAGCTTGGTTTACATATGCCTGCGGTATGCCTGCACTCTCATTGTTTACATACATACTGTTGATGCATACATTCTTTTGTGAATAATTTGGTTTATACAATCTTGTGTGAATTACTTCTAACGACAATAGCCTGTCAACGTACCGTAGGTATATATGAACCAGCCTTCACTTGGTTGAATAGTTAAATTGGAATTGCAGTTTTTTAACTCCCTCACCCCTTATATAATATCAGGTAAATATGCTAAATTCATGAGTTGCATTGTGGCACCATGCCCGTGAAAAGCAGTTGGCACCAGAGGCGGATCTATGGGTCGTCAAACCAGTCACGCGACTAACGTAAAAATTGCAAACTTAATTAAAGTCTTAAATATTCGACCAATAGTCCAGTTATTAATTTTATCATGCAGCGACACCTTATAATAGTCCAGTATCTATTATCATGCAGCGCTAGCAATTAACATTC